GTATATATTAAGAAATTCACAACTTTCTAAGCTTTTGGCGTTCTACAGGTATTGATGGACCTGACATTATCTCTGAGTGCAGAAGTTTCTGTTCTGAGTTGTCTGGGGGAGGAGCAGGTAAGGTGTTAGGGTCCATGAGATACATTGGGGATACTAGCAGTATGGGTCACTGTCATGGCTCCTGTGTCTTTCACACCTTTTCCCTTTGCTCACTATCTGTTCAATTCTTTGGCCAACACCATGCTCCTTTCTGCTCCAGGATTTCCAAACCATGTTACTTTACCTGGACAACTTCTTACCAGACAACCCTACTTCTGCTTAGATCCAGCCATGATGATATCTTGTGCCTCAGGAAATGGCTCACTTAGACCACAGGACTAGGTGAATCCTTGCATGGTGCTCTCTTGTGGCAGACATCTTTCTTCTTTTCTTGCGTTTATACAACGGATTTAAAAAAGTGTTCGTTTACTTCCCGCACTTACTCTGAGATTCACAAGATTAGAGCTACTTTGTCAGTCTGTGGACCTAGTGTATCCAGAGCCTAGATCACGGTTCTCATTGAACTCAACTGAAAGTGCAAACTAAATTCCAAAGATATGAATAGGAATAATGAAGAAAAAGAAAGTGATGACCAAAAGACATGGTATACTTAGTCCCAAAATTTGTAAAAACAAAAGACAGTGATGTTGATTTGGAGGAGCCTTAGGAGCTTGGGGAAATGTAGGCAGAAAGAGACACATATACAAGATACAGAAATGGAAAGGAAGTGAACTATCAATTTTGTAATTAATTCTGATAATTATGAAGTTGTCCTCGTACCGAATTCGGACAGGCCAAGCATTTGCTGTATGCATGATCAGGGACAGTCTAATAACTAATTGAAACTTCAATGAGCTTTTTCCAAAATGAGTGATTTATATTTCTACGTTACACAATTGGAATCTGGATACAGGACATGACAGGCCACAAGTTGCATGAACCCAAGCATCAGCACAAATGAAACTGCTCTATGTTTTTCTCTGATATAGATTTTTTATTGTTTACACAAGATTATCTCAGTGGAACAAAGTCAAATGCCAGCAGCCAGACACTCAAACATAAAATATTTAACAGTTTAATACAGGAACATTACACCATCCATATTATGGCTACATTTTTTTATATCCTCTTAATTTTTCTCCTTGGAATTACATACACATTTATGATAATCACATACATATATTGTCTCATTATTTCTCTTGAGAAGTTTTTACAATTTCCCTATGTATGCCCTGTATTTGAATCACTCTTTATAGGTTTGCATTATTAGTGTAGCTATTAATAGTCTCAGTATGAGTCTTGCTATTGGTTTTTTCATTAACTTGCTTGGGAAAGGACTTATCCTGTGTCGGCTGAACTGGTTCAGTTATGAGAAGTCCATCCAACAAGCCAGTCATCAAGGTGATCACTGGTGTGTGGCTATCCAGGCCAGAGCACCCCCAGCCGTGCTGGAGTGTGGATGAACCCACTGTGCCTCCCAAATTCTTCTCATTGACTTAACAACCTCACTTCATTAAAGTGTGTTCTGCCTGCAATTTTAGGAAGACCAGGATGTTTTTTGTTTTTTTTTTTGTTTTTTTTTTTTTGAGACAGAGTCCACTTTTGTTGCCTAGGCTAGAGTTGGATGTGCCGTGGGCATCAGCTAGCTCACAGCAACTTCTCAGATCCTGGGCTCAAGCGATCCTCTGCTCAGCCCCCAAGTAAGCTGGGCTACAGTGCATTGCGCCACCATGCCCGTCATTTTTTCTAATATCTATATAGTTGGCAATTTATTTTCTTTCGTATTTATAGTAGAGACGGGGTCTCGCTCTTGCTCGCGGTTTTGAACTCCTGACCTCGAGCATCCGCCTCCGCGCTGGGCCTCCCAGAGAGCTAAGGATTACAGGCTTGTGAGCACGCGCGACCGGCCCTGAGACCAGATGTTATACAGAGAAGATATTAAGTGCAAAACCTGCCTGACCCAGGTTTCTGACAGTGAGGCTCCTCCTAGAGCCAATGCTTGAGAACGCTACAGTGGCGGAAGATGGGCATCTCAGAGTTCACACTGAACCTACTGACGTTAGGTGTATTAGGAAGGCTTCAGACCACGCATGTTCCCACCTGCTGCTGCGTACCTCGAATGCTAGATGAGGAACTATGGACTCACACTTCTCAAACTTGCCCAGGTCTAATGGTGATACTGAACCACTCTTCATATCTGTATATGCACTGGGCACCATTTTCCATTTTCAGTGCTATTAATAATATTTGGTGTTAGTTATGCTTCATGGCTCTAAGCTGGTAAGAGTAGAGTAAAAATTTATTAATTTGCTTCTTAAATTTATTTGAAAGTATTCAATAGGCAATGCTCTCAGAATCCACTGCTCTCTGTGTTGTTTTCTTCATGCTTACTTCCTTAAGGAATTATTCTTTCACCAAGTGTTTCCTGCTTTTCACCACGTGAGTCTCCCCTGTGACATCCTCTGTGATGACACCGTTCGGGAATGCCTCTCTGCCTTGTTCAGCTGCCCTCCATCCTGGCTGCAGCTCTAAACATCGTGTAATGTTGTCCGGGCTCTCAGGTTATTGACTGAGGTCACTGGTAGTGGTTCTGTATTCCACCTCACAGGACATTTCCCTTTGTTCTCTCGTGCTATTGTTCAACAGAACCCAACCAGAGGGAACTCTTGGGTTAACCGGCAGAGGGAAAGAACTCCGGAGAAGACCGACGATAGTATGTGATGGGTGCTGAGGAGGAAAGCTATTGGATTATGAGTCCTCAGAAGGAAGAAAAAAACACATGTTTCATGCTACAGTGGCTTACTGAGAAAGGTTCTTCCGTGTGAAGGTTTTTAAAGCAACTTGGAAGAGCATATTCATCAGTGAAAGAATATACTATACATCAAATTATTTAGGAATATAACATATTTCCTAGAAGTAAATGAAGCCTCGTGGTAACTAAGCTGGTAGTTGATGTAAAGATTGAGGTTCCAGCAACATCAAAGAAGTGCAAGAAACCATGAAAGATCGATCACTATTAAAAATCAAGCTACTCTGGTACTATCTAATATTATGACGGTTCATTTACGACTACTTCACAGGTAGTCCTCAAATTTTTGTTTCATTTTCCACAATAACCTGAATACGAAGGTTTTGTGGTGCAAATTGAGTTTGCATTTACAACATTTAAACCAGGACTCACTCGAAGGCTCATAATAAGTGAGTAAAGTCTTTTCTGCAGGAATAGACTGGAATAGGGAACTATTAATATTCTTTTTCCCATGGTTTTCATTTCCTGAAATCGTACCCTGAACTTTTTAGGGAAATGTCATGATAAGGACGTTGGAGATTTCATCAGCTATGGACTATGTGTCTTCTAAGCACAGTGATTAAGCACAGTGTAGGTCTAGACCAATACATATTCTACCACATTTCTTTATTTATTATTACTTCAACATGTAGCAATAATCATCTATTTTTATTTTTGGATGAAGGTATTGCCCTTTGTGTTTGATTTCTGTCTTTAGCAGTCAGAGCGATATCAATTGACTGATCATGCCTGGAGCAACAAGAGCACAGGAATAATTTTAACCAAAGAAACTATTCATCAAAAGTATTGAACGATGAAATGAAATTTAGGTAATATTAGAAAGTCCAGGTAATATTACTCCCATTTATATATGCAGCGTGAAAAAGAAAAGCACAGGTGCTTGTTGCTGGATATTCCAGGTCCAGAATACATGACACGTGTTTGTCATAGACGTGCAAGCCAAGGAAACAGTCTCACCTGTTCTGTTGATTCATGTGATTTCACATATGATCAACAGCCAGAAAACACATATTTTGTTTTCTAGCAACTCTACTTTTCCACTGCATTATTCTTTGCACACACTCTTAATGTGGTAATGTTTATCAGGGCACAGTCTAGAAATGAGAGTAATGAGCCTTACGGTGAGCAGAAAGTTAACTCTTAAGGACTGAACTAGGAGAGAGACGAAGCTCAGTAAACAGGAGAAGGTAGGAAACAGTAACTTAGGGAGTTACCAGAGCTTTGATTTTTATTACAGATCGCTCATTAGCCAAAAAGCATTTTAGGATTTAGGATTCCTCTCTGGATAAAGGTGCTTTTGGGAATTATAGCTGTCTAGAGATGAAGAGTAGAAATTAGGAGAGTGATATCGGATTGTCTAGAGCTGTTCAGAGAAATACCTAGACATCGTAGACTGAAAAGGGCTCATAACGAAAGATGGTCCCTGAGAATCCTTCCCTAAGGCTTATGCATGTCTGTACCATTACTAGCACTTGCATCGTCCTGCACTTGTTTTAACCTGTCACAAGGTCTGATTATTCCGGTGTTGGTAGTTTTTAGCTGTGATTCTAAGAACTAGATGTTAATTTTATGTTGCAGAAACATAAAGAAAGGTACACAATCTATGAATTAAGGACAACACAGGAACCATGGGAAAAAGGGGATAAAACACTGTAAATGATATTCCTGTAAAACGGAGATAACACTTCAGCTCTTCTGGCTTTAAATGAGGACGAGAGAGGAAGACACCATATTGCTCTATGAATGCATAGTTCATGAGTAGAATTAACATTTCCAAAGAGGAATATAATTGGAAACACTCTCCTAGACATCGGCCTGGGCAAAGAGTTTATGAAGAAGTCCCCAAAGGCAATCACAGCAGCAACAAAAATAAATAAATGGGACTTGGTTTAAGTTTTATAAGAACCAGATTTATGCTTTTTTACACATAGAGTCAAGCCAAAAGTATGATAGAACAGATGATGCCTTGTACTCATATTTCAATGGAGAAACTTATTAAAAAATATTAAGATAATAACATTATTGGCTTCAACAGGATTTGAAACCTGCACTAAATGTCAAAATATTTGAAGACATTAGGAGGGTAGGGTACTAATTTCACAAAGTGGTCAACAGGGAGGGATTGGGAATAGGGTAGACTTGGTCTACACCTGGCTGATTTACTGCATGATATTGGGGAAATAGCCTACATGTTCATCAGATGTTTTCATGAACAATGAGATTATGGATGTGTATTTCTTATGTCAGTGCCTTGTCCATTATAAGAAATCTGTATGTAGTAGGTACTATGGTTCTTAAAGATGAAGGTACACATCGAAAAGACTTCTAGGCAGAGAAAATATAACACGCAAAAAAAAAAAAAAAAAAAAATTGAAAGCATGTGAGTTCTGTACAACTGTGGGATCTGTTGAAAGGTATGGGAAACCGATGGTAGAGAGAAAACGACCAGACTCTACAGAGTTGCCTTTTGTCTTAACGCCAGAAATGGAGTCTTCATTGTAAAAAAAAATAATAATAATAATTAATAATAATAATTAGTAAGTACATATTGAAAATTTTATGAAGAAGAATGCCTAATTATTTTACATGTTATCAAAAAATATTTTGGCAATTTTCTTCAGAAATACATTGGAGACTCTGACCAACACCGCAGGCTCCTTCACCAACCCACACATCCTAGTTGATGACAGGGTACCTATATACAGGGGTTTGCAATTTGTAGTAGTTTTTCAGTTTCTTTATGTGTTTGTTGCTGTTGATAGGTCCAAGAATCCTGTTTTCCTCTATGAATCATACATATAATATCTGAGGGTCAAAGGTAGCAGTCTCTGCTTTTTAGCCAACTTGGTTTAGGTGACCAGGGATGGAATTCATGCCTACTCATTAACAGCTCAGACACATTTTTCTCTCTTACTTCGAAGACAGAAGTGGTGGCCCCAGGAAAACATTGTGGGAAGGAAATTACTTCTCCTACATTCTGGCTTAGAAGGGAGCATGTGAAGTTTTCCCAAGTCCCATTTTGTATATAAGCAACACGACCATTTCTACAGCCACAGGAGTTATTTGGCTGCACCTAAACCACCCTTAGCTCACGCATCCCAACTAGGGTCCTATGTCTGCTACACTTAACCACCTCATGCGTTCATTTCTTCTTTGATACACAGTACCTCTGCAGGAGGCCTAGAAAATGTCTGATCACTTCCTCTGTGATTCACTAGCTCTGAAAGGAGTCCTTGCTCATATACCTCATGGGTTATCCTGAAGATATGGTTTCTAATAGGATTTCTCTACAGTTTTGTTATTGAAAACCAAAAACATGTTATTCTTATTTTTTTTTTCCATCTTTTGTCATGACTCCCCTAAAGCAAAGAGCACAGAATGGTTTGGGGAAAAAAAAAAAAGTGGAGACATTTCTGGTTTAAAATTACTATACAGGGAAATAAGGTATTATTTTTATTCCCATTCACCATAACTTTATCTGGGGTTTCCACAAGAGTCAGCATGAATCATGATATATCTGTGGACTGGGCAGACATACAAACCTAGCATAGACTGAAGTAACAATGACAATGATAATATTTCTCCTAAATGAGCATCTACTGTGTAAAGCTGAAAGTGAAAGTTTTGTTTTTATGTATATTATTATTCCATTTATTCTTCAATACACCCTATGAACACAGTAGGAAGATCATGTTCCAATAAACAAAAGGCTTCTTTTTTGGACAGTTTAAGTTTGAGGTTTCCATATGATATCTATGAGTATCCTTATGATATATAGAGATGAAATTTGAAAGATAATTTTGACTGAGCCTTTGGCTGAATTTTACAACTGTAGACATAGTCGTTAAAGTAGCAGGTGTGCCTAATATTATCTAAATAAAATAGTGATATTGATGTTACTCATTTAATGAGTTCTTAGAATGACACAATCTCTTCTAAGGGGTTTTCAATTATCCTAATTAAACTATAAAAATCCAATTGTTTTATGTATTAACTAATTTAATTATTTGTGATGCACAATGATGAGGAGAGGGAATTTAATTGGAGGGTGATCAGCCGAGCTCTTATCAGACTTAAATAATCAAGGATGCACCTGAGCGAATCAGAACCTGCCTTCAGTGAGATGCATGTACTACCACAGACAGGGGTGGTTGGATCTACATGACAAAGTCCATGATTGACAGACACATCCATGTGGGATTCTTGGAACACTAACAAAGACTAGTACTGGAATGCTAACAGCTCAGAACAAAGGCTGACATATTATGGCACACAGACATGCACATGCTCTCAGATTGCTTTCCTTCAGGAGGCCAGCAGTCAAACATTCCAAACCTTTCTAGATAGCAATGGCACCAGGAATACCTTTGGTACCCTCTTCTCGCCTGTCTGCCCAATAAGAACCTTCCCCTCAGCTCTTAGCATTGGGTACACCAGCTCCTTCCTCTTTACTGTTGTTCCCTGACATCTCCTGCTCTTCCACTGGTGCTCCTGCTGGATAGCAGTGAGTGTCTCATTTCATGGTCCCAGCAAAGGGGAGGGGAGGCATGACTCAAAGGGCAAGAATTCATTGAAGTAAGTGGGTGAGAGTGAGAACGGAGTCCTTTGGAAGGGAATAGAGGAAGAGGTGTGGCCCATGGAGTGGAGACAGTGTGAGGAAAGGAAGTAATGTTATGACCACCCGCATTTTAACTGTTTTATCTTTATCTCTTTCTTCCTCAAGGTCCAGGAGAACCAGGATGTAAATAATCCTGATTCAGATATGGAAAGCTCAGAAGAGACCTCCTAAAAACCTGAATGTTTATGGAGAGAAGATCCAAGGGCAAAAAAAATATGTTTGTGTATCTATATGAATACATATCTATATGATTGAATTATGAAAGTATATATACCAGCTATTAATTCTAGGGAATAGGGTGTTAAGGGTGTTTTCAGTTTTTACCTTTTTATATTTTCTTAATGTCAATTTTTACATTTACAACTTTCATAATTTGAAAAAAAAAGTAAACATTATTGTTAGGGCCTAGGGACTATAGGCAGCCAATAACCAGCCATTAGCTTTCTTTTTTTTTCTTTCCTTCAGATTTATTTTATTTGTGCTCCAAATTAGGACATAAACAGAGTGTTACAGCAGCTAAACCTTTATTCTTAAGATTTATTCATCCTTTTTTTTTGTGGAGCCAGAGTCTCACTCTGTTGCCTGGCTAGAGTGCCATGGTGTCAGTCTAGCTCACAGCAACCTCAAACTCCTGGGCTGAAGCAATCCTTCTGCCTCAACCTCCCGAGTAGCTAGGACTACAGACATGAACCACCATGCCCAGCTAATTTTTTCTATATGTTTTTAGTTGTCCAGATAATTTCTTTCTATTTTTACTAGAGACAAGGTCTCGCTCTTGCTCAGGATGGTCTCAAACTCCTGACCTCAAGCAATTCTCCGGCCTTGGCCTCCCAGAGTGCTAGGATTACAGGCATGAGCCACCACAGCCAGCCGATTTATTCATCTTTATATCCACAATGCTTAGTGTGTAGTAGGTGCTCAATAAAAATTAATTTAAGCCTCTGAGGTAACAATGATAAATCACTCAAAGATCATCTGAAATGTAAAACTAATAAAGGCTCAACATTATGCATTCTTTAGCAGTTTTAATTTGCCATGATTAAAGATACTTGGAATTTTGGTTCTTCTACACATTGTTTCAGATTACCTGTCTGCTCAAATGGTCTTAAAAATGGATGAAAATTTCAATAATGCTTATATGTTCCAATATTATCTGGGGAATAGAGAATTTCACAACACTTGCTTTATAAATAATGGAAGCTTAATCCTTTCAATGCCTCTGATTTAAAAATTTATATACATTTAATATAATGGAAATCTTTAAAAAGTATAACCCTTAATTTCCTCCTTAAGCAGAATGAATAAAGCATCAAACAAATCGGTTGACTTTAGACCAAAGTTCATGATCTTTCTTCTTGCCTAATCTCCTGCCACAGTCTTTGGTGATTTTGACATTCCTTTTGGTGGTTCTTCACACACCTGGCACCCCATATATCCTCTGTCCCTAGGCCCTCCAGGCCAACATCATCACTTGAAATGGAGCCAGCCTCAAGATCTAACACTTGGGATTTTTCTTTTAACCTTGGGCTCTTTCCCATTTCTCTCATGTCCTCACTTCTGCTGCCTTTTCTTTGCATCCTCATCATATCTTCTTGACCTTTGTCCCTTTCCTGGTGTACTAACCCAATACCTTTCCTACCACTACACCAAGCCAGCCTCTCACTGATGCCACAATGCCCAGGCCTGGCTACCTCCTTGGCAGGCTTTGCTGGGGAAAGCCATGGGACATGGATTGCCACACACGCTCGCTTTCTGTGCTTGGGGGGAGCTTGCTGGTGTTTAGTGGTCTTCTACCAACACTTGATGGCATACTGAGTTATCCTCCGTGGCTTTTCCAAACCTTTGCTAATTTCTGTAACCATCAATCAAAACCTTGTCCTGACGCTCCTCTCTCTACCCTCTCCCTCAATACCTATGAGTCCCAGCATCAACCACCACTTCTGAGCAGATGACCCTTACATTTTCTGTCACCCAAACTCTCCCCCAATAAACAAAATCATTTCCACCAACTTTTTTTTAGCCCCCAAATCAACTACTTCATTTTGCTTCCTGATTTCTGGTAACTGATGTGTTTGATGGGCAGTACTTGTAGGGTGCAAACCTAAGACTTATTTTTATCACTTACTCTTCCTTTTAACCCCTTCTGAACAAGTGGTCCATCTTTGCCCCTTTTAAGCCCTTCTGAACAAGTGGTCCATCTTCTGTGGGCAGGGGAGGCTGATAATTCTTCTATCCATTCTTAGATAATAGAACATCCTGTCACAAAACAGTTTTGATACAGAAATTAGAATGTCCAGTCTAAGATATTAACACATCAGCTTTCATTCAAGAACTTCTTTCCCTAGCGACAGCAGCTGTGGGTGGACCATATGCCTTTGGAGTAGGGCTTACGATCACCTCCTCCTTTTGTCACCTACCTCCTCCCTGACTCCCCAGCTGCTGGTCCACCAGCACTGGAGGAGACTGGAAAGGAGAAGTGAGGAACAGGTACATTTTCACTTAGTAGGCATTGCCATGAGATGGCTTCATGCTTTCTGGATAGAAGTTTAAATTTGGCATTTTTCCTTATGAGCACTTCCATGAGCTCTTTGCAAGTCCCCTTCTGGGCCCTCAATGACCCTTCTGATGTGAATGGCGCATCTCCATCAATTGATAGCTGCTGATCCCCTATTGACTTCTGAGTCCAAGGTACTTTTCTCAATCTATTATTTTTTTTTTCATTTTTTTTATTTTAGCATATTATTGGGGTACAAGTGTTAAGGTTACTTGTATTGCCCATGCCCCTTCCTCCCCTCAAGTAAGAGCTTCAAGCATGTCCATCCCCTAAATGTTGCACATCTTACTCGTTGTGGTTGTACATACCCATCCCCTCCTCCCCCTCCCACCCTCCCGACACCCGATAAATGTTACTCCTTTATGTGTACTTAGGTGTTGATCCGTTAATACCAATTTGCTGGTGACTACATGTGGGGCTGGTTTTTCCATTCTTGAGATACTTCACTTAGTAGAATGGGTTCCAGCTGTATCCAGGAATATACAAGAGGTGCTATATCACCATTGTTTCTTAAAGTTGAGTAGTATTCCATGGTATACATATATCACATTTTATTAATCCACTCATGTATTGATAGGCACTTGGATTGTTTCCACAGCTTTGCAATTGTAAATTGTGCTGCTATAAACATTCAAGTGCAGGTGTCTTTTTCATAAAGTGACTTTTGATCTTTTGGGTAGATGCCCAGTAGTGGAATTGCTGGATCAAATGGTAGATCTACTTGTATCTCTTTGAGGTATCTCCATATTGTTTTCCATAGAGGTTGAACTAGTTTGCAGTCCCACCAGCAGTGTAGGAGTGTTCCTCTCTCTCTGCATCAATACCAGCATTTGTTGTTTGGGGACTTTTTGATAAAGGCCATTCTCACTGGAGTTAAGTGATATCTCATTGTGGTTTTGATTTGCATTTCCCTGATGATTAGAGATGTTGAGCATTTTTTCATATGTTTGTTGGCCATCTATCTGTCTCTTTGAAAGTTTCTATTTATTCCTTGCTCATTTTGATAGGGTTTGATTTTTTTCTGGTATTTATCTGGAGTCTAAATAGATTTGAAGTTATCACCATTTCATCAATGCGTGCTGTAAAAATTTTCCATTCTGTGGTTTCTTGCTCTCTTGACATTGTCTTTGGCTTGAGAAGCTTTTTAATTTCATTAGCCATTTGTATTTTGTGCTGTTGTGATGCTTTTGGTCTTCTTCATTAAATTTTTGCTAGAGCCAATGTCCAGGAAGTATTTCCAACATTTCTCTCGAAATTCTAATAGTTTCAACCTAAGGCAATCTTATCCAGTGTGAGTTGATTTTGTGAGAGGTAAGGGGTGTGGATCTTGTTTCAGTCTTCTACATGTGCTATCAGTTTCCCAAGCACCATTATTTGATAAGATCTTTTCCCAGTTATTTTTCTCTTTGTTGAAGATTATTGCTATATGAAAATGGTTTATATCTGGGTTCTCTGTTCTGTTCCACTGCGTCAATGTTCCTGTTCTCTGTGCCAGTAAAAAGCTATTTTAAGTACGATAGCCTTGTAGCATGTTTGAAGTCTGGTAATTCATACCTCCTATTTGTGTTTTATTGCCTAGGATTGACTTTGCTATACGGTTTCTCTGTTCCATACCGAAACATAATTATGTTTATTATATCTGTGAAAATGATGGATGGTAATTTTTATAAGGATTGCATTGACTTCTCGTAGGTCACTTTGGTAGTATAGAACATTTTAACAATGTTGATTCCCGAACCATTGGCATAGTATATTCTTCCATCTGTTTACTCCTCTGCTTATTTTCCTTCTTTCGTGTTTCATAGTTCTCCCTGTGAGGTCTTTTACCCTTTAGTTAAATATATTCAAGGTACTTATTTTCTTTGTTTCTATTTTGAAGGAATTGGAATCTTGATTTGGTTCTCATTTTATTGTTGAAGGTGTATAATGATGCCTCTGATTTGGCTGTGTGTTGATTTTTTGTATCTGACTTTACCCAAATCTTCATTTATCAGATCAAGGAGTCTCATGGTGAATCCTTTGGGGTCTTTCTAGTATAATTCATGGTCTCAGCAAAAGAGTGAAGTTTGTCTCTTCTGCCTCCCATTTGGACACCCTCAATCCACCCTCGTCTGATCGTCAAGACCAAGCACTATGTTGACAGAAGGTGAGATAGTGGAACCGTTTCTTGTTCACGTTCTATGGAATGCTTTCAATTTTCTCCATTCAGTAATAATATTGGCTGTGGGTTTGTCATATATGGCTTGTATCATTTTTTGTTTAGTAAGCCCCGTCTGCTATGTTGTTGAGAATTCTTATAAAGTGTTGATTTTGTCAAATGCTTTCTCTGTTCTATTGAGAGGATCATATGGCTTGTTTTCTTTATATGCGTGGAATTACATTATATGATATTCGTGTATGTTGAACATCCCTGCAGTCCTGGGTGAATCCACTTGTGTGATGATTTTCTTGACAAGCACCTGCATTGGATTTGGCTAGGATTTTGTTGGAATTTTTGCATCTATATTCATAAGGATATTGGGTCTTAGTTTTCTTCTTTTTTTTTTGCATCCTTCCTGGGTTGGTATCAGGTTAGGTTCGCTTCACAAAATGTTTGGTGAGCTTTCATCCTTCTCATGTTGTGAAATTTCTGCAGGATAGGCCACCAGTTCTCTTTGATAGGTGGGTAAAATTCGGGTGTGATGAAACCATCTAGGTCCAGGACTTTTCTTTAGGGAAGGTTTTTTTTACTTGATGTTTCATTTCAGTAGTGTGAGTTGGTCTGTTCAGGAATTCCATTCTTCCTGGTTTGAGCCTAGGAGCTGTGTGTTTCTAAAGAATTGTCCATTCCTCAATTTTCCATGCATGTGCTTTCTGCCTGGATTCAGTTGAATTACCTCAATCCACCTACATCCTATGATAGTGTTGAGCATCAGTTCAAAAATAACCCTTGTGGTTCTACTTCTGTGATGCTGAGATAACACGGATGGTGTCTTTTTTTGTAATTAGAGATTTTTTTGTGTATTTCTGTCTGTGTTTGATTACTAGCCAATGTATGTTCAATTTGTTATTTTT